CCTTTCAGAGGTCAAATTGCTGTCAAGAATATGAATTGGCTGCTTCGTTACAACTAATAACAAACCAAACCAAACATACGTAGGACTCACAGAAAACGCATTTAAGACAAGATACAATAACCACAAAGCCTCCTTCAGGAACAAATCCAAGAGACTTAACACAGAACTAAGCCTGTCTCTTATACACATCTAGATGTGTATAAGAGACAGTATGTATGTAAATAAATAAAAAGCGAGGTTCAACAGTAGCTTTGATTAGACATTTTATTACTACTTAGTTTCATACCACACACATGGTGTGACACTCTTCAGATAAAATTGCCTAATGACTAAAAAACATAGAAATACAATTGATATATGTAAGCTGAGCATGTGCAGAAAGGTATAGCGGTAATACAAAATATATATTTATACACTGCATAAATTGTTTAATCGGAACACTGTCAAAATTAGTTACAGTTGCACTGGGAACCTCAAACATACCATTGATGGTCACAGCAACCATAAACAAGGAAACAAATCAGCAAACCAGCAAAGGATGCAACTGCAGGAAGCCCGAGGAATGCCCTATGTCTGGCCACTGCCTCAAAGAATGTGTAATCTATCAGGCAACGGTTACTACTAATAACAAACCAAACCAAACGTACGTAGGCCTCACAGAAAACGCATTTAAGACAAGATACAATAACCACGAAGCCTCATTCAAGAACAAATCCAAGAGACTTAGGGAGCCTCGCAAAATAAAGCAACGCGTATACGAGTGGACCACGCGATGCGATTAAAGGCAGTTTAATCCCATAGTTGGCCACGCGTTGGGATTATTTTCCTGGGCTACTCCACTTCGTAGTGGGGAATTGATAACAGGCTTAGTGTAAAAACCCAACACACAAACAAAAACGTCTCGTATAAAAATAAACCCTATTGGCTCACGTTATATTTCTGAGAATTACATTAATAATTTATCGAGATTATCGTCACCGTTACGATCAAAACCAACAGACAGCAGAAATATAAAACTAGGAGAGGCCTAGGACATAGATATTATACCTCCATGGATAGGCCTAGGCTTTGGCTTACTCAGAAAAATTACGGAGTAAAATTAAAAATCGAAAACAGGCAATTTTTATGAATTTTTGTTTAGGAATTATATCTTTTTTACAGTTAGTCTTTAAAATTATCATTTCTTATATCGTTTTAGTATTAAGATTATTAAATAAAACTGTCTAGGACGACAGACAGATATCGGTCCATTACAGTAAGCCTAGGCCAACATTCGATCATGAACTTAGGGTACACTTCCTTTAGTGTTAGCGAAATACAAAAAAAAAATATTGAACTCCATATAACGTACCTTTATCTGATATAAATGTGAGCAGTTGTCCTAGGCCTATATGTTATCTATTTTAATATTGATTAATCTGGAACTTTGGTGGAACAGTATATCCATTTTATGTGACGAGAAACGTTTCAAAAAAAGCAAAAAAAATC